CTACAGACATAACAAACAAAGCAGTTTTACTCATTTACGTGAAACATGTGTGGGACAGGGACTTACAGGAACAATTTCTCTGCACAAGAGAGCTCCCTACTACTACGACTGCAGAGGACATTTCCAGCTCAGGTTCAAACTGCATCTTTTCATTAAATAAATTTGAGAAGTTGAAAATTTTCCTCGATTTGGGTCACGGCTTGTCATTAAGGGGTGATGGTGGGTCCTGCAGCCAGACCAGTTGAGAACCACTGTTGTAGAGTATACATTTAACAAACAAGATACATGTGGTGTTTTTTTTTTTACTTAAGACAGAGCCATACTAGTTGTTTTTCTTTGTATACATTATGCTAAGCTAGGCTAACTGTGCCTGCGTTCAGCTACTTAATGCAGAGAAAACTACTATAATAATCCATTACCACCACTACTCTATACTCCATAAAGCACCATCATACCTGCTTGGACCTTTAAAAACGTTCTCCTGCTTGTAGAAACAAAAAAACAACAAAAACAAATGTTTTAAATTTCCAAACTTAAGAAAACGATGTTTGTGCCCCATGTCAAACGAAAAGTCAACATTGATTTATTTGTCACGTAACATGCGTATTTTAGTTACGCAATTTACATAATTATCTGAACCCAAACCACAATCTTTTCCTAAACCTGACTGTTTGCTGGAAAGACGGAAGTTGAATTTAAAAAGACTGTATGCACATGAGGAGCGAAATTAACTCGTTGCTGACCTTACGTCTTGCTGAACCTTCGTAAGAAAACACAAAATACTAAATAAAATAACTTTTCGTAAGATATCATTCAAACCGTTGTATGAGGATAGGTTGCTTTAAGTGTCTACGGCTTTTATCAGTGTAATGAAGTAGTTTTGTTTCCTAAACCTAACTGAGTTGTTTCCTGTGAAGACGGTAGTTTATTTTGAAAAGACTGTATGTGTGTAATGCGCCGAAATTGACAAGTTTTTCTGGAATGTCTTTGGAAAACGCAGAAAAAGGAGTAACCTTTTGTAAGATATCATAGAAAACATTGTATGAGGATATGTTGCCATGGTTAACAGCACCAGTGGGCTGGAAACACCAGTGGATAAAGCAGCCATGTTAGTAATTCTGAATCAGAACCGGTCTAAAAACAGATGAGCAGTGTAAGTTATAGCCATATAAAAGCACAGAACCCCTACAGAAATACATCCCTGGACATTACAATTAGAGAGAGGAGAAGTGTTAGTGAGCGTGTGTGTGTGTGTGTATGTGTGTTTGAAAAAGAAACACACACACTCCTGAGTCTCCCATGAGAAGAGGAATCAAGACTTCAAAAGTGGCCCTTTCTGTAAGAAACACTTGGCTCCAGTACAACAACACACACTCATCTCTGCACGAGAGCTCAGCCATCACTGCAGATAATGAGCGAATATCATTAGCACCACACACTAGGCTGCATGCACCACACACTGTATAGCGTTATGCTTATTAAAACTTTATTTATCTCTCTATAATCGGCTTTCACAGATGTTCTTTTGAAAGCAAGACAGCACACTCATCGCAGGTCATTCAGTGTACAACATTAATACGCTGGAAAGACAAGATGATGTTAGTGAAAGAAAATGTAGAAGCCATTAAGCTTACATTTTCTTTTTTCACAAATAATAAATAATCAAGTCTTACAACATAACCTTGGAAGGTATGTTGTGTGGTTAACTCCGTGTGTCTTGAGAAGTATGATATTTTGGAAAAATAATCAATTATTGTTTAATGTTATTGTATAGCCTGGCCGTGGTGATTTGCCATGGCTAGCTCAGACATGGCTGTAGCAATGGGAGGACAGGAAGCGTCAAACTACATTAACGTATTAAAGACAGAAATTAGATGATTTCAGAAGATGGTAAATGGTAAATAGTCTTTACTTGTATAGCGCTTTTCTAATCTAAACCACCTTGGTTTGTTTAGTTTTGAAGCCTCAATTTCAGAATTTTGGCTGTCGCCATTTTGGATATATTGCAACCAGAAGTGACACGAGAGGGTGGAGCTATGTACAACCGAGAGCTAAACAAGATGTTTTTAGCCCCCGAAAAAGGTTTACAATTAACTTTCATGTACTGAAAACACACTATGAAAGTGTATAAGTTCAAAGACGAAAACGTTGACAACTCCCAGACCTGAAAATGCCATGGTAGCAACCTGTCAATCACAAGGTAGTCACGCCCTAAAGCATACCCTGCTTTATGGTCTATTTTAGTCTAAATGGACCATCATTTACTAGATGAACATCGTGCTGCATTGAAGGAGACTTGAAACTAGAGATTGAGACCATAAATTCATGTTTACAATGTACAGGTTTAACGCACTTATGCATTGGTTTCTCTATTCAGACCTGGAGGTTGGTGCTGACATCTGTGCACTGCCAATTTGTGAAGCAGATAGCTACATAGCGGTTTGCTGCGCATTTGTGGAATGCGTCCTCCAAGCAGACAGTATAAACATAACTACTACGCATCCGTGGTGTCCACAGCTGTCCGAGCATGCGTCCCTTTGGGAGTATAACCAACGGTTACGTTTTTTACTCACTGCTGAGCTAGTAAAAATGGGAGCTGCAGTTTTTTGTTGGCTAACGAATTAATTGTTGTTTAACTCTGTAAAAATCACAAATACATTTTCGTAGTAGACGAACTTATACTAAGTTACATGCTAATGGCACTTTCATTCGAATAGCTAGGGCACCATCTTGAACACAGTGTTCAGTTTGCTTACTAAATCTATGGACTGAAGAAATTGAAAAAACAAAGCTCACACTTCATCTGCAGAAAGTCCAAACACAAATTACTGGACACACTTTTTCAAGTTATCAAGTAGTTTGCAGTTGTCACAAATCCCTTTTTGCAGGTTGAGTGCAAAAACAACACAGCAATCCACTACAAGGGCAAAATATACAGTATCGTTTGACAAAGTGTGCTGCCAAACAGTGAATTTCAAGGGCTCTCAAATAGTTTCCTTCAGATTATTGATCGCCACCTGAAATATCTAACATCTCACTGTGGTAACTTTAGTGAAATAAAAGTTACTCTCTACCTACATATTTCCAGGGACTGACCTCAAAGACCCACGGAAACCCAGTTTGAAAAGCACTTTATTAAAAAACTGATTTTGGTTGTTAGTTATGATTAAGCCCATAATTCAGTAGTTGTCAACGACAGTTGAGGTAAACATAATTAAAAAAAAAAAGCAGCATGTGTTTACATTCAGTATACCTTCAGTAGCTAACATACCACAGACCTGTTAACGCTAGTTAATGATGTGCTAACATACTCTGCTAATGTTAGCTCAGCAGGTCTTTACGTAGAAATGTAACGTTTTAGAAACATTTATCTCCCTCCAACCTCTCCGGGTAACGAGTATCCCTATAACACAGCGTTTAACCATGTCTAGCTGCAAATACACAAAAACCGGCCGGAAAATGAAGAACATCTGAAACCATTGCATGAGAGTCTATGGAGCAGAGCTTGATAGCTGTTCGATGCTGGTCGGAGCTGGCCAATGCTACGCTATTATTTGCCAGTCTGCATTTATTGGGGCAGCGGGCGATACTTTAAATGTTGAAATTAAACGATCACCCATTTTTCTGGGGACCACCTGGAACTCCCTCAAGGACCCCTGGGAGTGTCGGGAATGTCTGTGGCAACAATTTCACTTTAACTTTGAGTATTTCGTTTGAGAAGAATGGAAAAAGTGGGCAGAGTAACTTTGCATTTTTGGAGTGCTGTGCCAGGCAAGATTAATCAATCCTCAAGTAATTAAACAAATCCATATCCAGCTATACAGACAGCGCTACATAAGGCCTCCATTCTGCCAAAACCTTCCACTTTAGAGCCAGTGATTGTTGTACGGAGCTTTAGCAGGGGAGTGAGACTGCTATGTACAGCACACCAAAGCACTCTTGGACAGCCGTGGCGTTCAAGCCCAGCCAACTATCATTAAAGTGCCAGTTTGGCAGCTGCCCTGAGGGAAAGCAGCCAAGGCCAAGCAAGGTTCTAAACCTGACACAACTACCCAAGCAGAGGAAGGTGTTAACGGGCATGTCCGCTGGGAACATTTCTCCAGCAGTATCATTTCAGATGATTCTTCCGAACTCCTGTTTAACCAGGCCACACAACAGAGGACATTTTCTCTACAGCTATGGAGCAGGCCAACACACCAATGGCTTATGTGTCACGATCCACAAGAAACAGGAGATGGTTAAGTGTCCAAGCCCAAGGTCAACTATGCGTCTCCCGCTGTGGCAATGAAATAGGTTGCATAGCTGTGGTTTGGTTGGGCGCTTGGGTCTGGGTTTGATGTGGTCAAGCACAAAGCACAGCAATAGTTTGATATTTTGGGATATTGGTTCATTAGAGATATCACTTCCTGGACTGTCTGCTGGTTGCTTGGCAACCTCACAATGATGCTAAGACCCCAAATAGTCACTGCGCCCGGCCAAGAAATAGTCGGCACATAAACCTTGTAAACCAAAACATAAGACATAATAAATCTATTTTCTTTCTATGTGTTCTACCTCTGAGGTCCAAGTTGTTTCCCTGCATCAAATGCATGCTGAGTGATGCTATAGGAACATCAGTAGGTATGGAAGACAACTGATTGTTTTAATCTAGATGATGTAGTTGAAATATTCAACCAGGAAGGTTCCTGCTACTACTCATTGTTACTACTACTACCGCTACTGCTTCTACTGACACAACTTAGAGATCAAGATAAAGATAAAGAGGTTTTTATTGTCATTGTACTGATACAACGAAATTCCGTTTGGTAGCCCTCAGCCAGCCAGCAGCAGCAAACAACGAACAACTTGTGATAATAACAGACACATGGACAGACAGACAGACTGATAGATACAAAGATACATACATACTGTCTGAATCCATTAAGATGGATTGTCTTAAAGGTTCCAGGCAGAGTTATGTAGTCCAGAAATGACACACACACAAAAAACACAGCACTCACCACTTTGTCCTCCTGCAGCCCAGTCAGCCATCCATGTATAATGAAAAGAAAGACAGAGAGAATGTGAGCAAAGATGATATCTGAAAGCATGGCAATGATCCTACAGCCCTACCAGCAACAAACACTGTAACAAAGATATTTCAGCTTCCAATAACGTTACAATTACCCAACAGAAGAGAATATGCTGCCACTCTTTTGAGCCAGATTTGAGTTGAAATGTTCCAACAAATCCTTAAGCATAAACAACTAAATACATTAACTGTTGGTAGTCCGAGACATGATGCGAATCAATTGTGCTACTTTTGATCAAGTCGGGCTGGGAAAAATAGCCTCGGGCTGGTAGATGAAATTTGGGGCTGCTTTTCATCAACATTTGTGAAAACAATATTAACAAGCGAGCTGTCATTTTACGGTCAAAAACACAAACGAAATTCAGTGCTGACGGATTCAGTGTTTTTGTGTTTTTAGCTGAGCCGGACCTGAGAATATTGGGCTTAGTGTTCTCCATGACGCTTGCTGGAAGTGATGTGATGCAGCACCGGTGTGTTTTAGATGCAGTGAGCTGGCCTTTTCAATGCTACATTGTTGTCAGTTTCGGTCACTAAAGTTAAACCATACCATCCATGGTGTATTTTGTAACTTCGAAGAGAGCTAGACTAGCTGTTTCCCACCGCGTCCAAGCTTTAAGCCGAGGTAGGCTAAGCGACTGGTTCCGCACATAGAAACAGAAGCACACTGTCAAGCAAATGACTGTGTTCATGAAATATTAAAGTATTCTTTAAAGTGCTTGGACAAGCAGCCAATGCTGTCATTTTTTTCTGGCAAAGACAGTGTCAAATTTCCAAACTGTATTATTTTCTTTTTAGTTATTTTTTTCATCATTACTTATCGCAATGTCCCCCTCTCACAGCTCTACACAAGAAAAGTAATTAAACGAACACTGCGAAGACACATTGCTAACATTACTCAATAACAACAGTATCATATTAAGAAATACATAAGTCTGTGAAGATTTCGCACATAGCTTCTGTGTATGGACAAGTGCAAAATCCACCTTTCAAAAGCCTTCTCCTGCTGAATGCAGCCGCCACCCGCCCCAACACACCACCCAGGACCCCACAGCTGAACTCTCCCCATGTCAGGCAATTAGGATGTACTTTTGAGCAGGTGTGTGTTTGTGCAAGCGTGAGGTCATTAAATGCCACGCGGGCGATGTAGGGGAGGGGAGGGGGGCGGGAGAGGGGACGTCACTTATTTTAGAGGAAGGCTCGGCTCACCCAAAGCCAACGCACACGCACCTACACCCTGCTGTGTGTGTATAGGGCACCTCCGGAACCCCTGGGAGACCGAGACAGAGTGGGAGACCACCCCCATCCGTCCACAGCTCAGTTTAATGCCCAATTAACCTTTACTAGCTCCTGCCTGGGTCACACACACACACACACACACACACACACAAAACCAGGCATGGATCACATTCACACACATGTCCGGAGGCACACGTAAATACAAGGTAACACACAAAGGATGGGTGTCGATATCGTACACACACACATCCACAGCACACTATTCACTTAAATACACACATAAAGACACACGTGTGCCACGGCTCATCACCTCCACCAGAGTTCTAACACCTGAGGCCCAGCTGCATGTGCTATACATGTATGAAGTGCATATTTTGGATTCAATGATGGATATGAACTTGTGCTGTCCCGCAAAACTTTTTGTTTTTGTTTATGGTACAATCATTTGCATTAAGACCAATTCATACAACAGTTGGTCCAGATCATTTGACATAACTGTTATAACATAACATAAATGAACAATTTAGATACAATATTTTAAATGTTTGGCCAAAAGCAAAAAATTATCGGACAAGCCAGACTGAATATTTCAATAAATAACCCTGTAAATTAAATAAATAAAATGGATTCAAAAATTTAAAAGAAATTGCTTGTGAAAGAGAAATTGACGGCAAAAATGAATGTAAAGTATCAACTTATTTCATCAACTGACTAGTGGTTAAGGAAAAAAAATATTTAAAAAACTTTTTTTACCAACTGATTACAAGTTTACAAAGCTTCATATTTCTTCTAAAAGAGAATCTTATTTATTATTGTGGTCTCTCCTATGATGACAAAGCCCCCCCATCCACTGGGAACGATGGCTCACTGAATGGTTTGATGAGTATGAAAATAATGTAAATCATATGCTATGGCTTTCCATTCACAACATCTCAACCCAGTAAAACCGACAGAAGATTTTGGATCAATGTGTTGAACAGCGCTCTCCACCAACATCATCGAAACCAAAGAATGGATGGAAGAGTTCTGTTCAAATGTTGATAACATGAGAATTGATTTACTATTTTGTGATTTTCACAGGATATGTATGAAATGTTGCCCGATTGCATTGACACACCCCCTTCCGTCTCTCTTACCGTGTTGGATCGTAGCGACACTCGCCCGCCGCAGCGGGCACAGAACTTGGTCTGGCAGTACGAGCACAGGTTCCCGCAGCCGTCTGCAAACTTGGTCTTGTGGCAAATGCCGCATGTAGGCGCATCGTCCCGGTGGACGGTCGAGCCTGCCGCCACCGTGGCCTGCCGGACCACTGTCTCCCTGTAGCTGGACAACTGCTGCTGGATTCCTCTGGGAATAAAATAAAACAAGATGGAAACATAAAGGCTTTGGCATCTTTGAAAGTTGATTGTGTTTTCGAATTAGTACGTTGACACAGGGGCAGTCGTCGACCAAAGAAATTCTATGTCAACGAACAAACTAATCGACTGTTTAATTTAATTTGACATATCTGTAAAACTTTCTCCACAAAGAATCACACAAAAGCACCACTTTAAATCTTGTGTTTACCAGAGATGCTCTCTTAAGTTTTTTGGAAATAAGTAATTTAGTATGAAAAAGCATAAAAAACGACGACTGGACTCAAGACATCTCAGTCGACTAAAACCAAACGACCGATTGGGGGGACTAATTGACTGAGAGGGGGCAGCCCTAGTTAACACAAACACACGCAGTGTGGGAATACACAAACAAGACTTATGGTGGGCATTCGCAAGACAATTGATCTGTATTCATAATAAAGACACCCAATATTGAAGGTCAAACGCCTAATACAGACAGATGAAGTAGTCAAGGTACAGTAACTGGGACGTGCTGCTCTTGAAAGACCATTTGCTAACATTAATGCCTTCATGAAAAACTGAATGCATGTCCACACTTGAAATAGGACAGGGATGTATCCCAACTAGTTAAAGTTGTATTGCAGGGTTGAGCTAACATAAAACGTAATGGTTGTGGGTATTTTGTGATGTGTTCACTATAGACATGCTAGCGTCCATATGAGGCTTTACTTAAGCATAGCCTTGATTTCAGCTAAATGCTAATATCCGCATGCTAACATGCTCACAAAGATAATTTTGACATGCGGATATTTGACAGAGAATGGTCGCCACAGTGGTGGTTTAAGGTATTAGCATGCTAACAGTATCTACTGTATTTGGCATCGAACATAAAGAACATCTAAATTGATGAAAATGTCTTAAGTTTTGCTGGTGTTTGGTTGTAAGCCAAAGCACTGGATGAAAGGAAATGTTAAACAAATGATGACACGAGATAAAAAGTTAAGGGGATTGGCAAAGTTATTACAATCCATCCTGAGGTGGACATGAATACCAAATGTTATGGTAATCCATCCAAAAGTAAAACAAATGTCAAGACTGTTGGTGGTATAGAAAAATTCAGGGGATCAAGATTTATTTTCTAGGAAACCATGAATGTCTGTACCAATTCAATCATGTAGATATTGAGATATTTCAGTCTGTAAGTAGTGGAACAAAAGATCAAACTTTGAGTCACTGGTGGTGCCAGATAAAAAGACAGAGGATCAAGAAAATCATTACGGTTCATCCTCTGGGGACCTGTGTTTCTGTGCCAAATTTCTACTAAATCCAACTATTAGTTGCCAAGTCATTTCAGTTCCAACCTGAAAAAAGTCAACCTCATGATGGCGCTGGAGGGAAAGTCAGCAGATAACTAAAGTTATTGGCATCCTCTGGCAACCATGAATGTCCGTACAAAATTTCACGGCAATCCCCTCAACTATAGTTGCTGAGACATTTCTGATCGAAAGTGGTGGAACAACTTGTCCAACCAATCAAACAACAAACCTTTCCATTTGTATAGCTACTGTGACTAAAATTAAAAATATAGTAAGAAATAAACATCTTCCTGCATCTTTTGTAAAAAAAATAAAATAAATAAAATGGGATGAAAAATCATGACTCCATACTGCTCTTTTGAGGCCTTGTAATTCCATAACCTGTGACTGACTGCAGATCGAGTTAGGGTGATCAGAAACAATAAAAATTAGAAAAGAATGGTAAGAGTTTTTATCGGATAAGTAATAAACAAATAAATAAATAAAGGAGAGGAGAAGTGACCTGAAACCAGAGAGCGAAGAGAGACAATTGTTACATTAAGTCCAGTCGATATTACTACTCTCAGTTATGTTTGTGTGTTTTGGTGCAATCAACTTTTTTTTGTGTCCGCTATTGTTTCAGGCTGACACAAGGACTCAAATCGATACGAGAGAGAGAGAGAGAGAGAGAGAGAGAGAGAGAGAGAGAGTATTGGTTTTTATCTAAGGCATTACAGTATGTTGATTAATTGGATTTCACACCATGGAGATTGAGGAGAGAGCAAATAGAGGGGAAACAGAACAAAGAAGACGCAGAACTGATGGGCTCACAATCACAGGGAGGAGAGGAGATGTACATACATTTATATTTTGTATTTTGATTCCATCTTGCAGGTAGATTGGTTAAGATCACATACGAAGATGGTAGGGGACAGAACGAAAAAAATGACACATCCCATACATAACATATTCTGCACATGTCTACATATGTGTAGCTTATATAAAAGAAAGAAAGAAAAAAGACTGCAAAGTGGGTAAAAATGGGAGGAGAGAAGAAAAAGAAAAAAATGAGGAAAGGAAAAAAATGGTTGAGGTGAAGGAGAAGATTGGAGATGATGATAGGACACAGCATACCAACAGAAAGGTAAGGAATAGAACAAGTCAGAGAGGAAAGGAGAAAAGGGAGCGAAAAAGAAGCGATCCTAAAAAACATCATAAGCGTCTTACAGGAACACTATCCAGGAGCCTCACGCCATCAAATTGGCAAAAAAACAATCCAACTCAACCAAATTATACACAAAAACACACACACACACACACACACACACACACACACACACACACACACA